CGATGTTCTGCGACATCTTGACAGCCAAGCGAAAGTCCCTTCTTGACATGCGTCGTGGATTGCGTTTTTACAGCAGTTCACTTTTTCGATCAGGCATCAGTCTGGTAAATTGAATAAAGCAGCGGATGCTTTAAGCCGGAGACACGCCACACTTACAGCATTGCAGACGTCGATTGCAGGGTTCGATTCATTCGCTGAGCTTTATTCTTCTGACCCGTATTTTGCTCGCATCGTCGAAGAATTGGACACTGGCGCTCATTCTAAATTCACTCGTTAAGATGGGTTTATTTTTCTTGGTCTGCGCTTGTGTGTACCCACTTGCAGCTGGAGACTCAAGATCATTAGTGAGCTGCACAATGAGGGACATGTTGGTCGAGATAGAACGCTGCAACTTGTCACTTTTTCTTACTTTTGGACCACGTTGCGCAAGGAAGTGGAGAAATTTGTCTCTCGCTGTCGTGTGTGTCAATTAGGCAAAGGATCCGCTTCTAATGCGGGTTTGTATATGCCACTTCCGGTGCCAAATCAGCCTTGGTCTCACGTCAGTATGGACTTCGTCCTCGGGTTACCTCGTACTCAACGTGGCAACGACTCCATCTTCGTTGTCGTGGATCGATTTTCCAAAATGGCTCACTTTATAGCCTGCAAGAAAACCGCAGATGCGTTACATGTTGCGTCTTTGTTTTTCAAAAAGATTTACCGTTTGCATGGTTTACCTACGTCCATTGTGTTGGATCGCGATTCCCGCTTCCTTAGCCACTTTTGGAGGTCCCTTTGGAAGCTGCTACGTACGTCACTTAACATAAGCACAGCGTACCATCCGCAGTCTGATGGACAAACGGAGGTAACCAATCGTTCCTTGGGGAATCTTCTCCGTTGTCTTGTGGGTGACAACATCAAGGGTTGGGATGTTTTGCTTTGTCAGGCAGAATTTGCCCACAATCACGCCACCAATCGCAGCTCGGGGTTTAGTCCTTTTCATGTTGTTTATAGTCTCTTGCCTCGCGGTCCCCTCGATCTGGTTTCTTTCTGGACAAAACTCGAATACAGGGCCATGCGGTGGATTTTGTGGATGCGTTGCAGGAGGTTCATCGCCAAACAAAAACTAATCTGGAACTTGCGAATGAAAAGTACAGGACGGCGGCAAATGAGAAGCGGAGGGAGTTGCGCTTCGAACCAGGAGACCTTGTGTGGGCTGTCATTACTAAAGATCGGATGCCGGCTCATGAGTATAATAAGTTACGGTCTCGTAAGCTCGGTCCTGTGGAGGTTGTTGAACGAATAAATGACAATGCATCGCCTCCGCTTGCCTTCTCACGTTCGCACAGCTGATGTTTTCAACGTCAAGCACCTGTCACCGTTTCCCGGCGACAATCCGGAGCACGATTCGGGCGAATCTCGTCAAACCCGGTGGGACCTGATGTAGCATCGTGACCGTTGTTCTCAAATGCCGTTACTTGTTGCACAAGTGATCTTCTTAATGGGATTTTCGTTTATTTTATTTTAAGTTAGGATAAGTGTTTTGAAGATATGACTAAATCTTCGTAGGGATAGGTTTTTACGATACGACTTAATTGTATCATCTTCTATTTATATGGCTTTCTCTTTGTATTGCAAGCACGTTGATTATTGATTTGGTTTTTAGAATAAAGAGCTTTTAGCGCTGAGAAGAGCATTCTCAAACCTCTGTTTTCTGATTTGCAAAACAGAGTCTATCCCTTCCTTACTCTAGCTTCCGCCCCCTATCAATATATGAGCTAATTTATGAAATAAATAATATATTCACTTCACGTATGAATTCAAGTATGTGTATGAATATAACTTATAAAAAGGATCTCCTATATATTAAAAGAAAAACATTTTTAAAGAGAAACTTTAAATTTGTAGAATATTACAATGGTGTCATTTTTTTGATATGTCAACTGCACATTCATTCTCGGCTAATTTTTTTTAAAAAGATTTAAATTACTAGACTAATTACATGATATGCCATTGTATATTTTATGTCAATAAATATGTTATATTTTACTTATTCAAATGAATTCAAAGGCAATAATATTAGAATTAATAATTTAATAAAATAAAATCTGTTTAATACTAAATATAATATACACGAAATTTATTATATAATATTTTTAAAATATTATCCGTATATGTTTTATTATAAGCTCATTATAAAACATATAATATTTTTTAATATTTACTATTTTTATCATTCATAGTAAAATATATAATACTTTTTAATGCTTACTATTTTTTTAAAAAAATATGTTTATTGATTGTTTATAAAAACAACTGAAAAATTAAAAAATAATATTTTATTTTTCTCAAATCCATAACAAAATATATAACATTTTAGTAATGTTTACTACTTTTATTAGAAAATATGTTTATTAATTGTTTATTAAAAATATTTTTATAAATACAACAGAATAATTAAAAATAATATTTTATTTTTCTCAAAAATTAATCAGAACAAATAAAAGAAAGTCATAACAATATTATTTACATATTGTTGTGATTATAGCATGCATGAAAATAATTGTAAAAACATATATAATAACTTTTAACAATTCATAGTAATATATACAAAAATATATTATTAAAAATATATGTTATTTTTCGTCACAAACATCAATTAAAAAGAAAATGATGAATTTTCAAAATTATTATGATATAGATTATTTAATATTCAGATTTACTATATAAAGAAATATGATATATTATATTATGATTTAATTTATATATGACTCTTAGATGACAAATATGATATATAGCATTATTGCTTTTTTTGGTAAGAGATCATAACATGATAATACAAATATTAATTTTTATTTTTTTAATTAATGTTTGATTTAACATATTTAGTATCAAATTTTCAGCAAGATTTGTACATGTTTTTTTTTCTTAGTTTGTCTACTTTAAATCAATCAATTTAATTACAATAAAAATTCTATAAATTGATAATATTTTGATTTTAATATTTTATTAATTTATAGAATTATAAATTTATCGGTTTGGAACTAAATAAATGATTTATTAATAATTAATTAAAAATTATATTTGTTTTAAAAGTTAGTGATATCTTTAAAATATTTCACTTTTAAAACTGTAGATAAACCATAACATTATTTCAATTTTAAGAAAAACAAACCATTATATATTCATATTTTAGTAAATTATCATATTCTATATTTATATAAGATTATTTTCTGGTAATTATTAATATATGATATTAATGGAACCATATATTTATAGATTTTTCTAAAAAAATATTATCTTATTGATTTGTATCATATTTTGAACAAGTCTAATTTGGGACTAGGAAAATTTGTTAATTTATTAAACTAATCATATTTAATAGATTAGTAACAAACTATTTAATTAATAATATTTAATTATTTAAGAGTCAAAAGTAATTAAATATATACATAAATATTGTATATCCAAATCTTGGACATTGATAAAAATAATGAATCATATCATCAATTACGAAATATAGCAAATATGTATGGTAACTTCTTATTTCTATCCAGTTATATCATGTGCTATGCACGATTAAATTAACTTATATTTTATAAAAAAAATAAAATAAAAACTATATTGTTAATGTTATAGTATAATATTATATAAAATTCATATAAATTTAATTATATTATATTATATGATTTTAAAATTATATTAAATCTAAATAAATAATTATTATTTTTACCATGCATATGGTGCGGGTTATTATCTAATAAAAGTATTAATTTACTGCATGATTCAAGCAACATAAATGAGCTAATGTATGAAATAAATAGTATATTTCACTTCGCGTATGAATTCAAGTATGTGTATGAACATCACTTATATAAAGGATAAAAATAATTCAAACAAACCGAGTCATGCATGACATCAAATGTCAACGACTACTTACGAAACATGGTAGTAGAAATTTTCTCAAAAAACCGAAAGTCTTGAATGAAAAGTGAAGACTACCAAAAAAAAACCTTATCTTCTTTGAAGTTTCCTCTTCTCATTACGCGTTGACGTTAATAAACACCGTAATGAGATGGAATGTTACGACAATTATACATACTTATATATATAAAAAAAAAAAATGTTCCAAGATCAACCAAACCACCATTAAAATTTCGAAAACTATTCCCATTTGTAAGATATCTCATATGTTATCGAGTACGAAGGATCGTTCCATGAGTTTATCTTTAATCCTCTACGGCTCTACCCATGGCAGATCCTTCTTCATCTTCCTCAACCACTTATAGACACGACGTCTTCCCTAGCTTCAGAGGGGAAGATGTCCGTAAAAACTTTCTCAGTCACTTGCTCAAAGAATTCGAACATAAGGGAATAGTGACATTCAGAGATGACCAAATCGAAAGAAACCATAGCATCGGTCCTGAGCTCGTATAAGCCATAAGAGAATCTAAGATCTCTGTGGTCTTGTTCTCGGAGAACTATGCTTCTTCAAGCTGGTGCTTGGACGAGTTGGTTGAGATCTTGAAATGCAAAGAAGAACAACGACTCCAAGTGATGCCGATTTTTTATAAAGTGAGTCCATCTGATGTAAGAAAACAGACCGGAAAGTTTGGGATGGGTTTCTTGAAAGCTTGCTATGGAAAGACGGAGGAGCAACAACATCGTTGGAGGCAGGCGTTGACCGATGCTGCTAGTATTGTTGGTGACCATCCTCAAGATTGGTAAGTTTTTATTTTATTTCGAATTGATTAAAATCTTAGTTGGCTAGTTATATATTGGAGGTAAGATTAATTTGGATACAATGATTACAGTGATTCTAGATTGGAATACCAAATATTGTAACGCCTAAAGCTATGATTTCTTCACTCCCTTTTATCGTAATCAAACAAATTAAAACCAATGAGTAAAGGTTTTATAATTAATCATGTCTACAAAATATTTTACGGGAAATTGCAGGAATAAAGTACGTAACATGAAAAAAAAATCAGCATAATGACAATGGAAATAGCTAGGAAACAATGGTCATGTTATTTTTAATGTTAAGCAATAATGCTAATCAAGTAATCATCATGTCATACTATTGCCATTGTGCAGTTTAAACCTTAATTTAGGTTATAATTATGTTTTTATATAAATGTTTTGATCTCTCGTACGGAAATAAATCTTCTTCGGGTATTATCAAGTTTCTTAAACCACTTCTTACAGGCCTGGGGTTAAAAATATTTTTGACCTGTGTTAATTTTAAAATATTTATTTATTTATACCCTATTTTGTAAAGTTTTAAATTTAGGATCCTAAATAAATAAATAAATAAATAAAAGTTTTAAAAATTTATTGGACCATGTGCTTTTGCACTTTCTAACACATGCCTTAAATCAGACCTGACTTCTTAGAGCATCACCAACGGTAGAGGTTTATTTATGGGTTTCTTAAAAATACTAAATTATTATAATTAAATAAAATAATTAATTTTGATAATAAAAAGAAGCAAACCATTAATAAAAAGACACATGTCCTCAAAATTTTAGAAACCGACTTTGAACTAGAAGTTTTTGACACTGATTCTTTTTTTTTTTTTTCTTTTTTTTCATTCTTGTTTTTTCATTATTTTAATTATTTTTAATGTTTAGATATTATAGTTCACATCCTCCATTGGAGATGGTCTTATACCCTAAATGATATTTAATTTCTTTTGACAGGGACAATGAAGCAAACATGATCACAATAATTGCTAAGGATGTATTAAACAATTTAAATGCGACACCATAAAGAGATTTCAGTGACTTCGTTGGAATTGAAGCTCACATTGCAAAGATGAACTCTTTGTTATGCTTTGAGTCTCAAGAAGCGAGGATGGTAGGGATATGGGGTCCTTCAGGCATTGGTAAGACCACCATAGCCAGAGCCTTATACAACCAATTTCATGAAAACTTCAAACTTTCTATCTTTATGGAGAATGTTAGTGAAAGTTATGGTGAAACGAACCTTGATGACTATGGTTTGAAGCTGCGTTTACAACAGAAATTCCTATCCAAACTTCTTGATCAACACGGTTTGAGAATACGACACTTAGGCGCAATAGAAGAAAGGCTAAAGAACCAGAACGTTCTGGTCGTTCTTGATGATGTGGACAACGTTGAGCAACTCAAAGCTTTAGCAAAGGAAACTCAATGGTTTGGTAACAAGAGCAGAATCATCGTGACCACGCGGAACAAACAACTTTTGATTTCACACAGGATCAACCGTATTTACAAGGTGGCTTTTCCTTCAAGAGAAGAAGCTCTTGCTATATTCTGCCAACACACTTTCAAAGCACGCTCTCCACCAGACGATTTTAAGGACCTTGGAATTGAATTTGCTACTCTTGCCGGTCATCTTCCGTTAGGTCTACGCGTTCTTGGTTCGTTCATGGGTGGGAAAAGTAAGGACGAGTGGGAAGCTTCTCTGCCTACACTCAAAACTAGACTCGATGGGGAGATTGAGAAAGTGTTAAAAGTTGGGTACGAAGGCTTACACAAAGATGACAAAGTTCTGTTTCTTCACATTGCATGTCTTTTTAACGGTCATCACGAAACCTATGTGAAGCAGATGGTGGTAGCTAATAGCGACTTGGATTTTAGCTTTGGACTTAAAGTCTTAGTTGATAGATCTCTCATACAAATATATGGGAATGGTAAAATCGTGATGCACTCCTTGCTACAACTTTTGGGCAGAGAAGTTGTTCGCGAGCAATCTGTGAATCAGCCAGGGAAACGTCAATTCTTGATGAGTGCTAGAGAAATTTGTGGCGTTCTTACGAATGATATGGTAATTTACTCTATCTTTCTTGCATCATTTTTTTCTATGAGATTGAATATCTTTGATGAATGCTTGAAAGATTTTGTAGTTGTGCTCAGGCACGGTAAACTATATTTTTTTCTTTTTCTTGCAGGGCACGGAAAGTGTATTAGGTATGTCGGTAGATATGTGCGACATTGCCGAAGAGATTTATATAAGTGAGAAAGCATTTGAAAATATGAGGAATCTTTTATACATAAGATTCTTCAGGAGTAATGATACAGATAATATAATAAAATGAATTTTTCAGAAGAAGGTCTAAGTTATCTGCCACAGCTAAGGCTATTGCAATGTGATGCGTATCCGCACATGTTCTTGCCTTCTCGCTTCCGAACGGAATGTCTCGTGGAACTCGACATGTCTCATAGCAAGCTTAAGACCCTATGGGGAGACAATGCTCAGGTTATATGATCAACAGTTTTTTTTCTTATATATCTTTTACTTTCTACTTTCTAGGTATGGACTTTGGCCAAGAACTATTTATTTTATTTTTAAGTTTTCAAGTGTATGCATACATATAATCTTATAATTTTTTGAAGATTTAGGGTTTTGTTAATTAGTTCATATATATAGTTCTAAGATCGATTATTGTGTGAGCTCGTTTAGAGTTTCGCTTTTCCATATCAATGTGCATATCATGTTGTTAGAAATTCGGTGGCCTTCCGTATTAATTAATAAGTACGTATCATTTTAAATTATTTGTTACAAGTTCATGTAATTTTACTATGTCATGTTGATAGTCATTCGCCTCAACATATTCATCTGACCTATTCATTATGTTTATGTGCAACCGCTAAGAAATCTCGAGTTTATGAATTCGAGTAACTCTCAGAATCTGGAAAGCTTTCCAAATCTTCTGGAAGCAACAAACCTGGAGTCATTGGATTTGAGTTGGTGCGAGTCTTTGGTGGAGCTTCCTTCATCTATACAGAACCTACTTAAACTGAGTTGGTTAGAGATGTCTTATTGCACAAGTCTAGAGATTATCCCAACCAACATCAACTTAGCATCTCTATCTCGCCTACACTTTAGAAACTGCCCTCTACTGAAAACGTTTCCAGAGATTTCAACGAACATTACTTATCTTAAAATAAAAGGCACTGCGATCACAGAGGTGCCTCCATCAGTTAGGTCATAGCGTAGAATTGAAGAAATCTGCATGGAAAGGACTAAGGTGAGCATAAATTCAGCAAAAAAAAAAAAAAAAAGACTAAGGTGAGGAGATTGGTTAATATTCCTTATATTTTAGACGCGCTATGTTTGAGAGGTAATACTCAACTAGTGGTTATTACAAACTACCTCATACGACTACGTCGCCTACGCATGATCGACATCTCCTTTTGCGTAAATATCGTATGGCTACCGAAGTTTCCGTGCTCAGTACGGCATATAACAGCTTTGAACTGTGAATCACTTCAAACATTACATGGCCCCTTTCGTAACCCTAGCATTCGCCTCAACTTCACTAATTGCTTGAAGCTAGATCACAACGCACAAGAAGAGATCCACCAATCTGTTTATGGTGTTGCCATCTTACCAGGAGGACAAGTTCCCGCATACTTCACTCACCGACATAGCGGACCATCGGTGATGGTGTTTTCAAATTCGATGGATCTGTCAAGTTTCTCAAGCTTTAAAGTATGTCTTGTGGTTGCAGCGGGGAATAGGTTCAAAGGCTGTGACACATCTTTCTACACAAGCTTACGTGGTGATCCCATCAAGACGTATTACACAGTTATGTCGAATCAGCCGGAGCTTAGAGTGGATCATATTTGCATGTTTGAGTGTGTTTTTGCCACCTGACTACGATGGTGCAGTTGCAACGCATTTGGGGGCTCGTCGTAGTACGACCAGGTTGATGAAGTTTGACTTCAATTGTCATGGTTGCGAAGTTGTGGAGTGTGGTGTACTATTCTTGGAGGCTCGTCAATCTCCGGTCCCTGAAAAAAGAGTTGGGCCTAGTTCCAAATGTCCAACGCCTGCCAAAAGATTCAGGGCACAAGTGTGACACTTATAGTACTTAGTTCATTTGATATGTTATTATAATTCTGTGGAGATTACATTGTATGATATATACGATTTCGTATAAGTGCTCTCACTTTTCACTCAATATATTTTATTTGATAGCTTTACTTGTATAATAGTTCATAAAGAACATATGTGATGATCTTTGTAACTTCATGATCATACATGTGTTGCATCCTTTCTTTACCAAGATATTAGTATAGAGGTTTGTGTGAATGTTGTCGTAATATCAAATATCAATACATGTGAAGCATACAATAATCAAAGTGTGTATATTCATTAGTTTTAATTACTTTGATTATTGTATTCTTCATAGACAGAAAATGCGAAAAGCTATTTTATAAAACAAAAAAAATCAATAGTAGTATTTTCCAAGTGAATCTCATTAATTTGTTGATTTATATTTTCTTTTTGCTATATGATTTTCATTATTATTTCTTTTTCTCAAAACAAGGCCTGCCAAAAGACTCATGGCACAAGTGTGACACTTATAGTAATTAGTTCATTTGATATGTTATTATAATTTTGTGGAGATTACATTGTATGATATATACGATTTCGTAAGTGCGCTCACTTTTCAATCAATATATCATTTTATAACTTTACTTGTAAAATAGTTCATAAATAACATGTATGTGATGATCTTTATAACTTCATGATCATACATGTGTTGCATCCTTTCTTTACCAAGATATTAGTACAGAGGCTGTGTGAATGTTGCCGTTAATATCAAATATCAATACATGTGAAGCATACAATAAGCAAAGTGTATATTCTTCATTATTATTTGTTAGAGGGGAAATGAGCACATTTCCTAAAAAAGCATTCTCCGCAATAACCTAAACTCATCAAGACCAGGAAGACCGCGCCGACCTAGCTCGGATTAAAGAAAAATTCTTAAAAGACAATTATGGAAGACCGGGAACATCGGATTTACCAAAAGATAAAGGAGAATTTCCATATTCTTCGGAGAATAAGAGATATTTTCATATCGTAGATACGAAAATATTCACGAAGGACAAAAGGAAAAGGAGTTCGGAGCAACCGACCTCCTATCTCTATAAATACAGAGACTCCGAAGCCTAGAAGGACAACTCAGACAATCTAGAGAGCAGCAGAGCTAAAACCCGAGACTCCAACGCTTTCTAATTTACTTTGCAAACCTTCTTTTCACTTCGGCATAACCTCTCGGTTATACCCTTCTTTGTAATTGCTACACTTTCTTACTATTAATAAAAGATCTTATTCTCCGAAACCCACAACTGTTAATCAAACCCTAGTGGTGATTTTCTGGTTCAACAATTGGCGCCGACTGTGGGGACTAGGAGAATAAATTCTTAAAAAATCAAGTAAGAAAGCCGAAGCGATGAACCTCCCCGTCAACGACAGCTATCTTATTCACATCAACAGCCCTACTGTCGCGACCCCACCACCTACGGAAAAACACGTTCGAGCAACCATCGACAGTACCCACATGATTTTCGGAGGAATATTTCACGATCCCAGCTCGCTGCAAGAAATAAGACAACACGAAGAAAAAGCGGCAGCGGCAAAGCGAGATCCACCCATCCCAAGACACGAGATGCCGATCGAATTCACAACAGAGGACCAACGAAGCTCGCACGAATCACACTTTGACCCGCTGGTGATAACTTTACAGATCCATGACAGCACGGTTTCCAAAGTCCTGATCGACGGTGGGAGCACAGTCAACGTCATATTGGAAGATACGCTGTCAAGAATGCATATTGATAAAAACAAGATAATAGTGATCAGAAAACCATTGACCGGGTTCGCAGGCGACACCTCTTACAACATCGGTTCGATATACCTAATCACTCACATCGGCGGCATGACTAGAAAGGTAGAATTCGCAGTCATCAACCGCCCGACCATCTACAATGCCATCCTTGGAACACCGTGGATTCATGCCATGAAAGCCATCGTCTCGACGTACCATCAATGCATCAAGTTCCCAACCCCAACCGGAGCATTCACACTTCTAGGCGACCAGTCATCAGCACGAATGTGTCTTCTCAACGAAAGAAAGATCAGATCGGCGACCACCTGCATGATGAACAAAGATTTAGACCCACGTCTCCCCTTCCACAAAAGACCAAAACCCGAGCGAGTTATATAGGTAAGCATCGACGAGAAGCATCCAGAGAGACTTGTGAGCGTTGGAGGTGACCTTTCAGAAGATATCAAAACAGACCTCATAAAACTTTTGCGCGACCATGTGCATCTGTTCGCTTGGTCCATAGAGGATATGAAGGGAATTGACACCAGGATCACTTCGTACAAACTAAACGTCGACCCAGCGTTTAAACCTATAAAAAAAAATGCAGAAAGCTCGGTCCCGAGAAAGCGCAAGCCGTGACTGACGAAGTGGAAAATTACTCGGTGCCAGATCAATTATCGAGGTTCAATACCCTGACTGTTTAGCCAATCCCGTCGTGGTCAAAAAGAAGAACGGCAAATGGAGGGTCTGCGTCGACTTCACCGACCTTAATAAATCATATCCAAAGGACTGTTTTCCGCTTCCACATATCGACCGACTGGTCGAATCAACAGCCGAAAACCAGCTCCTGTCTTTCATGGACGCCTTCTCAGGATACAACCAGATCTTCATGCACCCCGGCGATAGAGAAAAAACAGCTTTTATCACGGATCGCGGAATATACTGTTATAAGGTCATGCCTTTGGGCTAAAAAACGCAGGAGCAACCTACCACCGACTGGTAAACAAAATATTCGCAAGTCAACTCGGCCGCACTATGGAAGTTTACATTGACGATATGTTAGTCAAATCTGCAATCGCAAAAGATCACGTCGGCCACCTTAAGGATTGCTTTAAAACCCTTGAGAAATATGGCATGAAGCTAAATCCAGCCAAATGCACATTCGGCGTAACCTCAGGGGAATTCCTAGGATATGTCGTCACTCAAAGAGGGATAGAAGCAAACCCAAAGCAAATATCGGCAATTCTGGACCTCCCATCGCCAAAAAACACACGAGAAATACAAAGGTTAACCGGCAGAATCGCCGCTCTAAAAAGATTTATCTCGCGATCAACGGATAAATGCCTATCCTTTTATCAATTACTTCGAAGCAACAAACGCTTCGATTGGGACGAAAAGTGCGAAGAAGCGTTCACGAAGCTAAATCAATACCTAATCACCCCTCCAATATTAGCAAAACCAGAAAACGGCGAGACTTTATACTTCTACATCGCAGTCTCGATTGCAGCAGTAAGTGGCGTCCTTGTCAAGGAAGACCGCGGCGAACAGAAACTAATTTTCAACATTAGCAAAACTTTGGATGGAGCCGAAACACGCTACCCAGCGTTAGAAAAACTCGCTTTTGCAGTCATCATCTCGGCACGGAAACTACGACCCTACTTCCAATCCCACTTCATCGTCGTCTACACCAGCCAACCACTTCGAAGCATCCTGCACAGCCCAAGCCAATCAGGCCGAATGGCTAAATGGGCGATAGAACTGTCGGAGTACGATATCGAGTACCGCGCTCGAACCAGCGCCAAATCTTAAGTTTTGGCAGATTTCGTGATCGAGTTACCACCGGATCTACTAGATGCGGAGCTGCCTACAGAAAACCAATGGAATCTTTATGTAGACGGAGCATCTTCGAAACAAGGATCAGGAATCGGTATCTGTCTGAAATCACCAACCGGAGAAATTCTTGAGCAATCCTTCAAACTCTCAGTTTCCCCGCTTCAAACGAAGCTGAATACGAAGCCCTGCTGGCTGGACTTTGGCTCGCCTAAGAGGTAAAAGCAAAACATGTTCACGCCTTCTGCGATTCCCAGCTCGTCGTCAGCCAATTTAGGGGAGATTATGATGCAAAAAATGAACGGATGGATGCATATCTTAAACAAGTCCAGGTAATAGCAAAGCAGTTTGATTCCTTCAAAATAACCAAAATTCCGCGAGCAGAAAACACCGCCGCCGACGCGTTGGCAGCATTGGCATCCACAACAGATCCTGCCTTAAGACGAACAATCCCAGTAGAAATTATCGAACAACCTAGTATTCAACTATCAAAAGGATCCTGCAACGCAGTATTACATCAGGATGACGAGGCAAACGATCCGATGGAGGAAGATATCGGACAGCAAGAGAAGCCTTGGAAAGATGAAATCAAGGCCTACCTGTTAGAAGGGATCATTCTGGAAGACAGGTGGGCAGTTAGACGCTTCCGGAAGAAATATCTCATTTTATTAACTTCTCTTTTTTTTTTCTTCCAAATTATATTTTTCTTTTTCTTTTAAATTAGTGTTTGAAGGTATTTTCTTTTTCTAAATTGAAATATATCTTTTTATTTATTTTTGTTTTACTTTTAATTTAATTACGAGATATGTCAAAATCTAATCGATTTGATTCGCTACGTGTCGCAATCATTAACATGTCAAAATTTGAATTGGAAAATCAGTCACGTATCGTGATTATGTGAATTACTAATTTTGATGCACCCATTTTATTTAATAAATATTGTTATCCAATCATTGATTTTAAATTATTTTTTAAAATCTGGTTATTGTATTTAAACTATATTCATTAGTTTTTTTTGAAATTTAGTGTTATTAGTTTTTAATCTGGGCATAAAAATCGGATCTGAAAAATCAAATCTATTTGAACTGAACTTAAAGCCTTAAAGGTACTGAACCGGAACTGGTGTAAATATTCGAATGGAATCTTCACTTTTATATCTAAAAAACCCAAACAGAACTAAGAAACGTATGAGTATGGGTATTCGAAATATCTGAAATACAATTGTATTTATATAAATATTAGTTATATTTAGATATAAAATAATCAGATTTTCAAAATCACAATTATAAATCCTATATATTAGATATGTTTATACTAAAATAACAAAAAGATTCCATGAATGTTTTTAAACTACCAAAGGAGATTTGTGAAGACATAAATAACATATTGGCCCATTTATGGTGGAG